AAACAGCTGTCATTATCGCGAACGATTTCTTCGATTTGAGAATTGCGCAATAAAATCGTCTGCGATTTTTATTTATTTTTTTTTTTGGCGTAACTTGTCAGTGAACTACGGCTATGTGTAGTAAATTCTGCTCCATCTGAAAGCACGTGATGATGATTTGCTGCTGATTACAGAACCGGAATTACTATCAAAATGCGACTTACAATCGCATTCGGTTAATCGTGCAGCCCTATATGGGACACACAGGCCTATGATAACTGCTGAAATGTTTGCGGGGCAAATCTAAAGCACGTGATGATGATTTGCTGCTGATTACAGAACCGGCATTACTATCAAAATGCGCATGACAATCGCATTCGATTAATCGTGCAGCCCTAGTAGCTAAACATTTTAGCTCCTTGAAGCGTAACTCGAATGAATGAAATGGTTTTAATTTGAGAAGCGTGTTGTTATCTGCAGCCTCCTGAGAGGCAGATCGTGGTGGGTATCTGTGCCATGTCTAAGAAGTCAAAGTCCAAACCTATGAAGGAGATCCTGGAGAGACTGTGTCTGTTCAAATACATCACTGTGGTTACGTTTGAAGAGGAAGTCATTCTGAATGAGCCGGTGGAAAACTGGCCACTCTGTGATTGTCTCATCTCTTTCCATTCCAAAGGTTTGTAGTGTCCTGTCTGCTTTTTGTAACAGATTACAAAAAAAATTTTCTTCTGTATATTCTGATAAAAAAGTCACACCTGACTATAAGCTGCATCGGGTCAAAATTGCATCTTATATCAGTGTATAAGTCACATTTTATTATTACATAAGCAGAAATAAATTAATGGAAACATTTACAAAGAATATAAACACTATAAGCTTGTATTTTTATTCCCTTCACTCCACAACAAATGCTCATTTTTGTAAAATAATATAAATGTGCCCGTATTTGTAAAATTAATATAAATTGTTTAGTTTATGTAGAATGTGAATTATGCTTATTTATACCATGATCCGAATACTCTATTCTGATTGGCTGAAAGGTGTGTGTTTAAAAAGGTTGAATGCACAGGTAGCTCCAGACAGTTACTGTATTGACAACAAGAGCAGAAATGTACATTCCCTCTTGATATGAACCTGTTTTTGTGAATTTGTGTTCATTATTTATTGTCTGTTTTTAAAGGATTCCCACTGGATAAAGCCGTGGCTTACAAGAAGCTGAGGAATCCATTTGTCATCAATGATCTGGATCTTCAGTATTTTATTCAGGACAGGTGAGCTTCATTTCCAGCATCAGGTCTTCATCATGTTGCAAGTTAATTGCATTGTTTATTGACCACACATGATCTGATACAGAAGACAATGCCAGCTATACTTCATGCTTTTAAAACTGGAAAAACCCTTGCTCATTATATATGATAGATAAGTAGATGGGTTCTCCCAGGTATTGTAATTGTGATTGTTGATTTAAAATTTTCATTAAAATGTTTTTTGGTTTTTTTTGTGGGTGGGAAACTGTATGTTACTTATTCTTATGCTACGATTGCCAAATGGGTTAAACTGTTGCCTCCATGTTTGTTGTTCACAGACAGTCACGAGACGGCAAAATGTTACTATTGTTATCATGGTAATCTTCCATTAAGGGGCAATATTTGCCCCTGGAATTGTTTACCATGGCCTTTTTTTTTTAGAATTTCTTTTTCGAACGTTCCCTATTTCTGAAGCGGTCAGTGACTTCTGATTTCAGTTCTGCACACTTACAGAATCTCCTGTTTTAACCAAAGGAGCTGTCTACACTACGCAATGAAACTATTACATATATCGTAAAACTTTTTGTTTATGATGAGAGAATTCGCAAGTGCCAAAGTTAGTGCTCTGGAAAACTGGATTTCTTCACCACTGGTGACTAATCTAAATGCCTCTGATTGGCTATTGCATTCATGCACTCAACAGGTACATGGTTGATTGGTTATAATGCTCGACAAAAACGCGCAAAAAGAAATCTTTGATGCAACTTTAACAGATCTTAATGCAATGTTGCATTCGGCACTTTTCATTCTATTTCATATTTTACTTTAATCGCAATAGTCATAATAGATTTAATTTAATTGTGCAGGTGCATTTTTCTTGAAATTGGTGGGCATTTTTGCCCCAGTCCCCTTTAATTTCCAACTCTGGCATGCAGTGATGACAGAATTTGCATTTTTGGGTGGAGTATGTCTTAGAAGTATAAAGCACTCCTCTAGCATGGGCGATTGTCATGGTTTCTACTCACAGAGAATACATCAACTTACAATGCAATGTTAACCTCTTTTTAATTGGCCTGTTGTATAAAAGTAATATCACATTTGAAATGGTGCTGTTGGTCCGAATATCAATGGCAAGCGGACTGTGGCCAGGTGCTTACGCCCAAATCACAGCTGTGCAAATTTGCCAGTCCTGGAAAGCACATGGAAACTAGAACGAACAGTTTACCACTGCCCCGAAACAGTTAATGTTATTAGTGGAAAGTTTTGCAAAGTGAGAGAGGTATTGCTGTGACACTGTTTACTCCTGTGTTGACGCTTGCAGCAGCTAGCTAATGTTTTAACTGCTTGAATGTTTGCATTTTAACCGGGGTCAACACAGCAAGCGTGCAAGCATTTGCCCAAGAAGCGGTCATCCCTGCAACAGAAGTGATTTTTGAAAGAGATAAATGTATTTATTTGATTTGGTTTAGAAACATTGAAACTTCATGCATCTACATGACTAATAGTGACACACTCCTTTTTGGTTCTGAGCAATATGGGAAGTCAAAATAGAGATGCTGACGCAGTGCATGGTGAATCAATCAGATACTGATTCACTCATTTTGATTGGCCTAGTGTCGTTTCAAGAGTCTTGAAATGTAGTCCAGTTGCACTGGGACTGGGTCTGATTTTGTTCTGCCAGCAAAAATAGTTCCAAAGTAACTGTCTGGCAATGCTGTGTCTAAAATGTACTCAAGATCAACTTATTGTTTTTCTAAAACTCTTTAATATACACGAATGCTTTAATTGACATCACCGCATCCTCGTGTCTGCAGCAGAACAGCAGCAGTTCTGATATTTTGAACAATGGCACTCTTGTCTGATTATTGTCATTTAAGTCAACGTTTACTCATTTTAATTTCGTTCCAAGCACATAACGTTCAGTCCTCTTCATGACACAAATGAAGATGTTTTGTGATGAAATCTGAGATATTTCTGTCTCTTCACCGAACATACACAGGGTGAGTGAATGACAGATGGGACTTTTTTTGGTTTTGTTTAATCACATGTTAAGTAATGCTGTCAGACATGTAGACAGAATGATGGAAGATTAAAGAGGCTTTTAAAACTTAAATATTGGTTTCTTGAAGCTTGTCATAGCACTTGTGTATCATTGCTCTTTTGTTGATTTTGATTGCTTCTGTTGTCCTCATTTGTAAGTCGCTTTGGATAAAAGCGTCTGCTGAATGACTAAATGTAAATGTAAATAACTTGCTGTGTTTTTTTTTAACAATTTACCTTTTCTCCCACAAAATCCTAATTCATATGCAATGTTTTGGGGTTTAGGAGAGAGGTGTATCATATACTGAAGGCTGAGGGAATACAGCTCCCCCGCTTTGCGGTTCTGAACAGAGATCCTGCCAGACCAGAAGGTTTGTTAACTCCTCAAATCTCACACTGACCTAGTTTGGACTACATAAAATAAGCCTGTGTCACCAGTGAACAGTGGTGTGCTCTCAGCTAGTTTGTAGTGTCATTTAGCTGATACAAATGAGAAAGGAAAAAAAACAAGCGTACAATATTAGCAGTTATAATAAGTTTTATGTGGAAAAACTAATTTTCAATTTTATTTGGTTTTGTTTTTCTAATAATTAGTATTGTGAGTTGCTTTCGCTGTTTTACAGTGGGTTCATGAATGATTCAAATGGTTGCAGGTTTCCTATGTAGCGTTTTTGTACTTTTCAACTGAATTCACATCAAATCCTAATCTAATCAAATCAAGACCCTGTGAATTCATTTTCTTTCTGCCTTTCTGTTTTCCTTTTTATAAAGTAGTGTTCATTTGAGTGTGTCTCTTCACTGCAAAAAATGGCTTATCTTACTTACTATTTTTGTCTTGTTTCTAGTCAAAATATCTAAAAATTCTTAAATCAAGATACTTTTACTAGATAAGCCAAATGACTTAAGATATTTAGTCTTGTTTCCAGGAGGGAAAAAAAAACTAAATTAAGCGCATTTTGCTTAAAACAAGTAAAATGATCTGCCAGTGGGGTAAGTAAAATATTCTTAAAACAAGAGCATATTACTATCCCACTGGCAGATCATTTTACTTGTTTTAAGCAAAATGCGCTTAATTTAGTTTTTTTTCCCTCCTGGAAACAAGACTAAATATCTTAAGTCATTTGGCTTATCTAGTAAAAGCATCTTGATTTTAAGAATTTTTTTATATTTTGACTAGAAACAAGACAAAAATACTATATCCCTTCAACAACAAAATACACACCACATTACATCAGCTGAGTATTTTAAGCAAAATACTGGTCCCGCTTTATATTAAGTGGCCATAACTATTATGTACTTGCATCATAAAATAAGTACAGTGTACTTATTGTGTTCATATTGCATTGTAAAACACTTCTGCTGCTATTGAGGTGGGATAGGGGTCAGGTTAGGGACAGGTTTGGTGGTATGGGTAGGTTTAAGGGTGGTGAAGGTGTAAGGGTTCAATCAACAGTGTAATTATAAATGTAGTTATATAATTTAATTGTAGATTTAATTACATGCAGGCATTTTTTAAATATAAGTACAATGTAAAAACGTAATTCTGTTCTTCACAAAACGTCTTGAAATGTGATACTGTATGTGAAAACTCTTGAGTCGTGTCTGGCTGTTCAGTTCAGTTTAGTTTTTTATTTTATTTCCCTAGCTGACAAGTTGTTTACAGCATTTGGACAAAAAAACATGACAAGTACATAAATTGAGTTTTAGCTAAATTGGTACACTGCAAAAAATTAGGGATGCACCGATATTAAAATTTTGGCCGATACCGATAACCGATAATTCTTTATTTTTGAAAGCCGATAAATGATATGTTGGCCGATAAATTATTATCCAAATTTTTATATACTTTTTGAGAGCCTGATTACAAAAAAGGTCTCATCATTAAAAGCCACATCCCAAACACTTCAACATAAGCAGCCTAGTTTGAACGGTGTACGTTTTAAAAATAATTTTACTCTCCCATTACCAAATTTAGTCATAAAAAAGTCTTACAAATAAATAAAATAATGCA